AGAAAGAAAAATACAGGAGATACATCAAAGGATTAATGGGTGAATTAAATTTTCTATGGTATATTCACATAATGGAATATTATCAGCACATATGAAGTACTGATACATGCTACAGTATATAATCTTGAAAACATTATGCTAAGTAAAAAAAAAAAAAAAGGCAAAAAAGACCACATACTGTATAATTCCATTTATATGAAATGTCAAAAATAGGCAGATCTCTAGAGACAGAAAGTGGATTGGTGGTTGCTAAAGGCTGGAGAGTGAGGAAAATGGACAATGGCTACTAATGGATACAAAGTTTCTTTTTGGTCTGAAAATATTCTAAAATTAATTGTGGTGATAGTTACACATCTGTAAATATACTAAAACCACTGAATTGCACACATTAACTAGGTGCATTTTATGGTATATGAATTATACCTCAATTTTTTAAAATAAAAAATATAATAGATAAAAGAAAAACTCTGAGAATTTGGGTTAGACAAAAAGCAAGAACCATAAAAAGAAAACCTTGATAAATTGGAATTCTTCAAAACTAAAAATCTGCTCATAAGAAGACACTGTTAAGTAAATTAAAAAACAAGTTACAGATTAGGTAAAAACAAGTGCAAAACACATTTCTAATAAGTGATTTATATCTGGAATATATAAAGAACTCTCATTTGAAAACAAAAACCTGATTAAAAATGGATAAGAGTTAAGGCGCCTCAGGGAAGAAAAGGTATGAATGACAAATACCTGAAAAGATGCTCAACATCAATAGTCATTAAGGAAACACAAAAGGGAAACCACGACCCACATATCCTGTATGAGAATGTTTACAGCCGCCTTAGTCATAATTGCCCCAAACTGGAAACAACCCAAAGATCCATCAATGGGTGAATTAATAAACAAATTAAAACACTCATGAAAGCTGTTTTTAATAAAGTAGTGACGGAAAAGCAAAGCAGAGTTTGAAGAAACTTCAGCTAGAAAAATGTCAAGTGGACTGCAACAATAAAAGAACCAGAAGCAACGAGAAGAGCTGGGAAATACTAGAGTCACCTTGGAAAGATCCAAAGGTATTTCTAAATGCTCTCTGATTAACCTGGGAGGGTACAAGGCAGTTCAAGGACTGTGGAGTGACACAGCCTGGGTTCAATTTCCAGGCTCCTCTACTTACTAGCTCCATGATTTCGAGCCCATTAACGGTACCAACTTCACAGTGTTAATGCGGAGATTAAATGAATCAATATATGTATAGCAATTTTTAAAGTGCGGGAGCTGGTAATTAGCTATTATTTCAATTATTATTATTTTTAACCAGCTCTTAAAACTCTTATTTGTTGTCACATAGTTTAAGAAACTGTATGATTCATTCTCTATCTCCACCTTTTTCTTAAAGAAATGAATTATAGTAAGAAGATGAATCCCAACTAAAATCCTACCATAGATTTGGCAGAATTCTGTCCAATATGTCTTCTAATTGAATCCTAAAATAATGATGTTATTTTCTCAACTCTTTGAAATTTTCTAGGCATTCTATAACACAAGCAATAAGCATCCTTAAAAAAAGTTTGATTTTTAGAGAGAGGAAGGGAGAAGAGAGAAACATCAACGTGAGAGCGCAACGCTGATCTGCTGCTTCCCACACGCCCCCTACTGAGGGTTCAGCCCACAACCCGGCCACGTGCCTTGACCTTACTGGAACCAGCAACCTTTAGGCGCATGAGACACGCCCGGCCCACTGAGCCACACTGGCCAGAGCAAGCAACAAGTATCTTAACCAAGAGATTTTCACGTCTAAGGCATACCTTATAAGTTATGATACCATGTGCTGAATTTATTAGATGTCTTCTGCTATCCTGACAGTCACACTTTTTCTTGTTTCTGTTCTAGTTGTAAATTTTAAAATCAGCTTTCTGGTAATACTGAACACTGATCATCCTTCAAATACCTAAGTGCACAGCTTAAAAACACAAAAGGGTACCAAATTTCTCACATCTCCACACCAATTAGTAAGGTGCTAGGAAAAACATATCTAGAAATCACCTGTTTTTCCCTCTTTTGTAAAATTAAACCTCTCTTCTTCCTAGAAAAACACTGCTCTTCCTAGATCTTTCTTCCCTCCTTAGTTAAATGAAGATGCTGTATTAGGCAAAAATGGTTCTAAACCAAATATTTACATAACTTCAACCCTAACTAAATATAGTAAAGGAACATGGGTGTCATAGGTTCAAGATAGCTCTTTAAAAACCAGTTCTGCTAACCGGTGGTCATTGGTATACAAGAATATAATGAAACCAAATTAATGATACCAAGATTTATAAATTGTGCCTCAATATAAGATTTACTACATAGTGCAGAAGCCTTAAATATTTTTACATCTCCATTAACTTTTTATACTATAATTTATATATTTATATTTGTAGTTGCTATATAAGTTATAGCTATATTATATAAAACAAACCTCTTTGCTGTGATATTTTGTTTTGTTACTCATTCATATATTTTAATTTATATTCACCTGAATGAGCAACTGCCATAAAAATTAAAAAAAAACAAAAACACACATTTCCCAAGTACTTTCCAGCTTCCCACTGCCCTCAGGTACTGCTCTCATTTGCAATGATCAGATTTCATGCAAATCATGTAATGGCATCACACAGCTTTATTTTAAAAGGGTAGCCTAAAAGTAAAATAAACACTAAAACCTAAGGTTTTATTTTACCTAAACATTTTTATTTACTGTTAATTCCCTACATTCACAAAATATAAACACTGGTGCCCTATATACTTGCAACGGATTCGAATTGAGAAATAGACAAGATAATTTCTTTAAATAACAATTTGGTATTTATTCTTTACAATGGAAGTTAAACATTAGTGAAATAAATCAAATTCCTAGAGACTACTCCCAAATACGAGGTTGGGCAGCAGGAGAAGCAGGCCAGTTTCTCTCAGAAATATATCAAAATATTTTAGTGGGTCAGCTATTTTGGTTGCCTTTAAAAGCAACGTAAGCCCTGGCCTGCGAGGCTCGGTTGGGCGTCCTCCCGCGCACCCGAAGGCTGCGGGTGGATCCAGACCAGGGCGCAGGCCTGGGGTGCCCGCAGGAGGCAGCGACCAATGTTTCACTCTCACATCCATGCTTCCCTCTGTCTCTCCCCCCTCTCTAAAAATCAAATTTTAAAAAATTATTTTTAAAGGCCATGTAAGTTAATTATGATAAAGAAAAATTATTTCCAAATATACAGTAAATTTCATGAGCATAAAGTAAGGAGGAAAACCCCAAAACAAACGAGGAAGAAAGTGTTAGGGGTGGGAGGCACCTACCTCATGCACTAGAGCCAGGGAGGTCTGCTTGAAACTCCGCCCTCTACTGGCCACCAGCCGATTCAAAGGTTTGCCATCTTTACTCTGATACATTGAAACATCGTAACAAAATAACATACCACCTGAAAAAAACACACCAGAAAAACATTTCTTATGGAAAGGACTTCATCAATTAGATTCTCAGTAATCAATATCCAATAAATAGGAATAGAGATATTTAGAAATTAAAAGAATTTGCTAAGCAGATTACATTGGCTATAGGTGTCTAAGGGAAAAAAATAGAAGAAATATAAAATTATATTTAAACTATCACTTATTTACAAGCTTTTTTCACTTGGAAATAAATGAATACATTTGCAATTCACGACACTTAATGTTTTATAAACTTACTTTAGAGATTCTATTAATCTTTAAAAAAAAGTAATTCCAATTAAAGAGAAATGCTAGCACACATCAGTCTTTGTGAACTGACAAAACATGGGTTCCTTTAGTTTATACCTCCAAGTACAAGGACACATTTTTCCTCACCCCTGCCCTCAGGTACATGCAGACTCCCTCTTCCCGCCCTCCTCCCCTGACCCTGCTCTTCCCACTCTAGTCAACTGAGCTCTCAGACTGAGCTTCCCGCCCCAGCGGCCCCAGCGTCGGCGGAAACCAGGCCGGGCAGCCAAGGGCCAGGCCGAGGCAGGGCAGCCAAGGGCCAGGCCGAGGCAGGGCAGCCTGGGAAACTACCTGGGTAATCTTCAACCAACGAAAAGACACACTGAAAGACTAAGATCATTTAAACCATAGAGATCATTACATTTTTAAACATCTCCTTTTGAAGTACGGTATAAATAGAGAGAAGTGCACATATTAAAAGCATACAGAGCCCAGTGAATGTGCACAAACTGAACAAACAAGTCTACCTACCACCCAGATGGAAACATCGCTAACATCCCGGCGGCCTTCCCTCAAGGTTCCTCCTAGCCGAGGGCACTCCCGTCCCAAAGGCAGCAGCCCGCTAGTGACCACTTGGCCTGCTTGGGTCCTTCATATAAATGGAATTGGGCTGTAAGATGGAGTTTTTGAAATCTGGCTTCTTTCACTCAATACAAGCATTGCTGCAAGCATTCGCACTGTTACTGGCACTTGCAGGACACTTGTTCTCGTTGCCGAACCCTCCCCCTCAGGTGAGTGCCGCCATTTATTCACCCATTTTAGCGTCAGCGGGCATTCAGACAGCTGCCACGTTTAGGGCTACTCGGATAACGCTGCCACGAACATTCCAGTATGTTGCCCAGTGACTTCACTTGGGTTTATCCCTAAGAATGAAATAGCTGGGTAAATTTACTCAGTACAAGTTCTCCAAAGTGGCTGCACTAACATCCATCCATTGTTCCACGTATTTGCCAATACTTTGTATTTTCCATCTTTTCATTTCAGCCAATCTGTCAAGTATGTCGTGGTATCTTACTGGGGTTTTAATTTGCATTTCTCTGATGACTAAGTTGATCATCTACTCATATGTTCACTGAACATCTGAATACTCTCATTTAAAAGGGTGTGTTCAGTTCTTTTTACTGTTTTCCCATTGTCTTTTTCTTATTGATCTACAAAAATTCATTATATATTGTAGATGAGTTCTGTATCAGATATTTGCAGTGTACCTTCTTGCATTCTGTGGCTTGCCTTTTCACTCTCTTCAAGGCACATTTTGATTAACACATGTTCCTGATTTTAATATAATCTGTCATTTTTATAACTAGAGTTTTAATTACAGAATCATTTGTCATAAAGATCCCTTTTCTCCACAGGACTGCAGTGTCACCTTTGTAATAAATCTGGTGACCCTGTATGTGTTTGTCAGTTTGTCTGTCTATCCTTGCACCAAAACCACACTGTCAATTATTGTGCTTTTATAAAAGGTCTTGACATCTGGTAATGTATATTCTCCTCCTGTTTTTATTCTTCAAGATTACCTTGGCTATTCGTTCATTTTCACATGAATTTTAGAATCAGCTTGTCAA